AGTGATCACATTGAGAAATGCTTTTTACTCATAGTGTGTTTTAGAGAGACATCAGCGTTTTACATTATAATATTTAACATTGGAACTCCCACACAGTCAAACTGACTATGACATTTTTGATGAAAAACCATCAAATTTGGCCATTTAAGTTGGAGTTTGGTGATTTTGCAGATGTTTGCTTGTGCAAAGGAGGGTTTTTTATTAACACTTCCAAAAAGTAAAACTTTTAAGGCACTACTCAACAAACAACCAGTGGATGATTAAAGTGGCAACTCATAAACACAAGGATATCAGCATCCTAAGCCTGCGATGTCTTTAGGTAGTCTGCTATGTGACCTTTTGGAGCTTGGTCTTTAAGATCAACAAAAACTTTATGCATAAAACTATAAACTATAAAACGGGCAAAAAAAAAAAAAGGAATGGAATACACCTAATCAAAAAATGGCTTCTTAAAGAGAGATTTTGTGAATTTTGCGGAAAAATACCTTTAAAATAGAACTTTTTGTTTCACCCTTTACTGCGAAAACGTTGTTTGATAAGCAGACTGACACCTCAGTAGTTCAGCATTGGTGCATCTATATGTGGCCTGTTTCCCCGAATTTACTTTGGGTTGGACGTTCCCACGCTGTTTCTGCTGCTGAGACGTCAGGCTCGTCCATTTTAAAGTTTCAGTCCTAGCAAACAATCGCGTTTCATTCAAGATGGATTTTATGGATACGCAGAAGCAACCGACATCAAGCTCAACTCAGACACCAATGGCAACTCAACGTAATGTAAAAAAGGAAACCTTGTCAAGACGGAGCGAGGGCTACGAGAACGAACAGAAGAGCGCTGCAGTTCTGCGTTTTGGCCAAAGTGGGCAGCATCATTAGAAAACTGTAATGCCCCTTTACCATTCTTTTTTCAAAAAAAAAATCTTAATATACCTGCACATGTACAAATATAAATTGATTCTCTGCTAAAAAATTTGTGTTTTGAAATTAATTTTGTTTTTTTAACAGAGAAAGGGACCTTACTGTTAATAACAATAAGAATCACTGATTTGATTCGTGTCTGAAACTGAATCTCAGAAACACAGATGCATAAAAGGTTTGTTGGCCAATTTGGTTAAAAAACAACAACAACAACAAAAAAGCAACCAATCTTTTCTTCTTCTTCAAATAATGAACGGCTGGATTTAGACATATATGATAAAAATCTTTCTCCTCTCATGAAAGAGGTACAGCTGTTGAGATGTTACAGTTGCTCTTGGTTTTGTGGTTCCTGAACAGAAAAGATAACCAAAGCCATTTTTCTACTACGGTAAATGACACCCAATGAACTCTACTAAATCTCTTGATAGTATAGAAATGTTACACGTGAAAATCTTCTATTTACAAATGTAATACTCTAAAAACCATTTTTTAAAGTTTCATAGTGTTTCTGATTAAATATTGGACAGACAATAAGTACAAAGCATTAGTTTTCTCAATCAGCAGATGGGTCATTTCACTGTTTTTTGCATACTTGCAAATGTTTAGATCAAATATATGCTAATCAAATAAGAACTGGATGATCCTGGATTAAATACAGATCATTTAAATCATAAATTTTAATGAGTAATTTTTAAAATCCTGCAAAGAGTAATTCCAGACCATTGTTTATTATCTAAACTGGATCTTTGGTTCACGTTACAAACTTAGAAGGGATAAAGATGCAAAAAAAGGTGTGAAGTTAGCACCTATGTGCTAAATAAGTGGGAGAATGTATCCATTCTAAAATTGATATATAATATATATAATATGGCAGTAAAGTTAGACAGAAATTTAACTTGTGATGTGGGGAAAAAAATTTATTTGGTGATCTTTACAGAAAATAAATTTAAAAAGTTTTATTTTTTGTGATTAAGATAAAACTTTGAAACTCGAACTATTTACCATAGTCAATGGACATTTTTCTATTAGCATCAAGATTTGGCAAGTGACGAAAATCTAATTCTATACTCAGTGTTTTGACAACCTCAGGAAGGAAAACAATATCACAATTTTAAATAAAGTTATAAAACAAAAATAAAAAAAAAATATCCAATAGGTTTAAAGTAAAATAGCTTATGAACTGAAAAAACTAAAAAATACACAAGTAAGGGTCACTGTAGAGCTCAGTTAGAATCCAGACCTTCACTGTCTGGGTTTTATACAATTTTATTTTCCAGCTAGCTTAGGGGGAAGTGTACAGTAATATGTGGGGGAGGGGCTGCACAGAGCTACTCTTTGAAGCCTCTCTTTGCATACAGTCGTGAAAAACTCATATTTCCTCTCTCAACTATAGGGAGAGTGTGATGTAAACTTTAATGTTTTTGAAAGTACAACTTTTTAGAACCCCGCTCCCAAAATTATTACTCCTAAAAATGTATGAAATCTGTATACAACACAAAACATTATTTTTTTTTAGGTCATTGGAGATTTAAATGCAAAATAGTATAACATTTTTTAAGTAGTTAGGCACGTTCTCAATGTCAAGACTGAACAGGTTTCATTATGTATATGGGACACACCAACATCAAGGCTGTCAGGATGTGCTCTATACATCGGGAGGCCTCATTATTAGTTCTGCTTAATTTTCTTTTTTGTGTGTAAACTTTTAGAACCAATCCAATCAGTTTGGCAAGAATAGATATACGAGACTAAAATAAAAATGTTGAAAACAAATGGAAATGTCCTAAGAAAATACTTAGCAAAGTCTTCAGAGACTGGAAAACTACTGGTCAGGACCACTTTTCGGGTTACATCAGAATCGGTCTGCTTAGAGGCACAACTAAAAGAAAAAGGGATTGGTCAAAAGTCGTGCACAGTACAGTTACTATGCATCAGCTTCACTGGACTGATTCTTCTGCTTGCCTCCCCCCTTCCTCCCTCTCAGCCATCCCTTTTCAATCACATATAAGTTGGATTAATGGTCTCCCTGTGTCCAGATGTTGCATAGTAATGGAGGCAGAGGGTGGAGCCTGCATACTTTCGCAACCTCAGCTACAGCTCACATTCTGAGCGGGCCTAATTTATGGAAGATCTGCTAAAACAGCAGGCTCACAAGCTCGTTTGGCAGACATGAGACCGAAGTGACAGAAATCAACATGTTATGCGTTTAAAGCAATATGCGAGGGAGCTTTATCCTTCGTGAGTCAGGGCCTGATCTAACACATAGCATGTTTGCTACAGGCTTGTGGCTTTTCATGCACTGAAATGGTGTTGAAAATAGCTAAACAATTAGAATGTGCCCTGTATTTCAGGGCCGGCCCAAGGAATAAGCGTACTATATTTGGGCCACAGGGCAATGAAGGAGCTCTCAAAGATCCAATTTATTTAGCAGGTTTACTGATTTCTGTGTATATATTAATAAAAACCAAGCATTTTATGATCAAATCAGTATATATTAAATCATGTAGAAAAAAATGCTTATACATGAAAATAAAATGTATTGGTCTTGGGACCAGATTGGTACACAGACATAGAAGGACCAGTGAAAACATCTCCATGACAAGCTTATCCCAAGATAAGCTTGTCATGGAGATGATGATGAGCGTCTTATCTTGATGAATAAGCACTGGCTTCAGAGATGGAAAACCTTACAGACACCCTAGAGCACAGATGACCTTATTTACTAGCTCACCTCGCTCAAAATGGGATCAGAGATCCACCCAAATATTTCTGTTTAAATTTCTTTTTTTCCTAACTTAAGTTAAGATGAGATTTTCCATGGTACAAGAACGATCAAGTGGGCTGGAAGAGATTAGTATTAACATCTAAGTCTGTTTTCAGATCTTTACAATGATGTCATCAGTGACTTTGTAAACAGAAAACAAAATATGTGTGGCTAAAGGTAACTGACGTTTTCATTCTGTGATTTTGCATATACTTACATACATTTCCATTGTTATAAAAGCTAAATAATTTGCCAAGTAGTGTCTATTTTAAAAGCATTAGTTATTTGATGTAATCATGTCTGTTTCTTACTGTTTTCTTCTTGTTGTCGGAAGCAAAAAAGTATGAACCACATGACCCTTTAATGGAATATAAACTGCGTAATCGTTTATTTTACTTTCAGGAACACAAACTGAGTCACACTAATAGAAAACTGTAAACACACTAGTAGGTGTGGGAATGGTCTTATCAAGTGTTTCATCAAGTGTTGATTGTTGCAGTTGGCAGCACTGGCAGAAATAAAATAAATAAATAAAAAATAAAATGCTGCTCATGGCCCAATGGAGGCTTGGGTCGCCCCTGGTGCATTTGATACCTCATAATTACCAAGAGGGATCCCAGGACACAAGGGGGATAAATACACGACTTTTCATTTCAGGCTTCAGCCAGAATACCTGGCATCAACTGTAATTCCCAGACAGCCCATGGACGGCATAAACACGTCAGGACAAGCCGCGCCATTAAGAGGCAAGCAGATAAACATTGTTTTCCTTTGCGCAAAGTAGGTGAAAACAAACACGAAAGCTGATCTGGGCATCCGCTTCTTGGATAAGGATGCCAGGCGTGTCTTTTTATGTTTTTTGGGTTTTTTTGTATTATTATTGTCATGGGAGAAGCAGCAGGTTGGTTTGAATGGCTGCACCCAACTGTAGCTGTAAAGGATATTTTTGATGTAGTTACCTTTTGATGGAAGGGAAATAAACAAAAATAAATATGTCGCCAAGGCCTGAGCTGTGATGGTACCTGCTGAATATTTATTGAATAACCTCACTGTCTGCTGTCCTCACAGGGAGGCCCTTTCTCTGTCTGCACAGACAGCAGCAGCTACAAACGCAGGCAGATTTTCAGGCCAGAATAAACCTAAATGTACCAAACATGTTCTGGTGAAAACACAGAACCACTTCAGAGATTTTTTTTTTCTCGCTTTCCTACAGCTTTGATCACCATTTAGGTCTATGCATGGATGTTTTGTTTGTATTTTTCCCCTTAACAGACAGAAGTGCTCATGCTTTCTAAAATAAATAAATAAATAAGGCTTCTTACCTATGGTAACACCATTAGAAGACATGACCTCCAAGCAGAGAAGAAATCCTAAGAAGAACAACCTCATCGCCATCTCCTGAGCAATGCCCAATGGCACTGCTGTTGGAAGCAAAAAGATGAAAAGTTGGCTGGGTTTCTAAAACCGAACCACCTCATCCGAACCCTCCCTCAATGGTCCGGGGTGCGATTGTTCCTCCAGTTGCACCCAAAGGGTTGTCTCTCCTAAACGGGGTTCCTGCAATAATAATAAAAAAAGAAAAGAAAAAAAAAAGGAGAGCAACTACAGCCCTGTAAGGCTAAGGGCGATGCAGCAGTCCAGTCATGTATATTTAAAACAGATTATCGGCGTTCAAACATGATGCGTAACGGAATCACTGTGCTTGACAATCAAATCATCCAGTCCTACAAAAAGGAGCGCTGCAGCTTCCCAGTCCGCTTTGGATCCCTTAGTGATAAACTAAAAGCTGAGATGAAAATGGAAAAAAAAAAAACCCAAACGCGTTTCTTCCCAAGGAGCGCGAACGTCTCCCTGCGCCTGTGAGTGCATGAGTGGATGGTCAGCCTATCTGAGCCCCAGCACTGTGGACGAGCCAGTGACGCAACGCGCAACTCCTCAAAATGGGATTACTGAGGGACAAAAGTGCGCATGTTCCCAAACCACTCAATTTTCTATGGTATGGAAACCCCAGTGGTCATATAAAAGTCAGGCAGCAACTTGAAAACACATGCTAAGCTCTGCATTATTAAGTAAATATAATCAATCAGATAGTAGGATGGATATTCTATTAGAAATATTTCATGCATTATTCAAAATAAAAAAATATGGGTTGGATAGTTGTATTTGTGTGGGTTCCAGCACATATTGGAGTAGAAGGAAACTAGAGGGCAGATAAAATGGCAAAGAGGACAATTAAAAATCCTATTATTTCTACGGTTAAAACAAGTAAATCGTAAGGAAAGAGTATTATTAAAGAAGAATTGATGGAAAAATTGCAAAAAATGTGGGATGAAGAAAAAACAGGAAGATGGTTTTATAAAATTCAGAAGGTAGTAGGAAAAAGAAGAAATGGAAGACGACATAGAAAGGAGGAGAGAGTGATAACAAGGTTAAGATTTGGGCATACAAGACTTAATTAAACACTTTTTAAAATTCTAAAGCATACTACTGGCAAATGTGATTACTGTGGAAAATATGAAACATGAAATAGAACATGTTATACTGGAATGTCATAAATATGAAAGGGAGTGAAGATATATGAGGAGACAGTTTGAATGTATTAAGGAAAAGATTAATTTATTTGATATTTAGAGGAAGAATTTGGGGAGTAAATATATACAAATATTTTTTTGATTTTGAAAGAAAACTAAATTATTTCATAGAATTTGATTATAGAGAGGGTGAATGTGTGTATGATATAGACGGGTAGAATAGAAAGTTATATATAAGTATGTCGTTTTTTTTGTTTTCTTTTTTTCCCCCCTTAATTATATATATGTTTATTAAGTAGATAGTCCATCACGAACCACACTTCATACTAGTAAGTGGCAATGCTACTAAATCTTTGTTGCCAACGGGAAATAAATCCAAGAAGGAGAAGAAGAGGAAAACACATGCTTTAGATGTGTACAGACACTACGGTTTGTTTTGGGGATGGTTTGTTTTCTTTTTCTTTTTTTAGAGATTCTGTTCTTTAGTTAAACCCTCTTACACTTTTTCTGGTAGACTTCTTATTTTATTCAAATGTATTAATCATGCATGTTTTGGTTTAATTCGTTTTTCCTTTTTTGTATTTTTATATATGTTTTATTCTTCAAATTTTTTTATTTAAAAAACACAGCTACATGTTATTATTCTTATATAGGTTATAGTTAGAGTGGTTATCCTGAGCTATCTCTATAGTAATGCTGCTATAGGCATAGACTGCTGGAGGACATAGGGACTCCTCTTCATCTTTCTTCTTCCTTCTATGTCTATTTTCCCTTTCTGCAGTATTTGTTAGTTCAACCACTAACTTTATGCACTCTGCTTTTTCTCATCTTAGTTAGCTGGATCTGGTCTGTTCTTGATTGGCTGTGACACCATCATGGAAAAAAAAGACCTATAAACATCTTTGTTTATAGATGTAGGAGCTTAAACTGTTTTTCAGTTTAGTCCTGTTTCTCTTACTGGGGCTTTTAGCTCGTCTGCCCAGCTGTGTGTTTCCAGGATGGTGTCGTCTGTGGAGCTGGTCAAAAGTTACCTTTTGTATCTCTGCTTCTTTTTGTATGTCTGCTTCTGTCTCCTTGAACCCTTGTCGACCTGTTAAAAGGTAGTTTTCCTCTCCACTTTCGCTACAAACATGCTTGATATGAGGGATTGTTGAGTCAATTAGTTAATGCAATTAGCTGGCTTTCCTTAGATAGAAAATCTGGAACCAATCTGACAGTATGATTTGTTTGAAAAGTCTCTGTAAAGTGCCTTGAGATGACATGTGTTATGAATTGGCACTATATAAATAAACTGAATTAAATTAAGAAGAAGATGTGATAATATTCTTTTTAATTGCTGCATGCATGCTTTTAAATAACTGTTTATATTGAACCTTATGTGGTATTACATTCTAACTTATGTTGTGTTGTTGGGAGTATAGATCAAGCCAAAAAATAACTCTAAGTGAAATATTTATTTTTGGAATCATATAACCACAATCCTATTAGGGATGTCTCGATCCGACTTTAATATTGGATATTGGTCTGATATTATTTAAAATATCAGATAACTTCATGCTGATATAAACACTTTGCTTCTGTTAAAAGTTTCTGTAACTTGGTTAATTTTACATAGGTCAGTTGTTTTGCTGTTGACTTTTGTTCTCTGTTTTAGTATTTTTACTTGATCAAGCCTTTTTTTTAACATCCTACGATATAAAATAAGTAATAAAAGCTCAAAAAGGTCAATATCGGTATTGGCCCATTCTCAAAGCTGCAATATATCTTGGGGGAGCAGTGGGCTCGTGTATCGTATCGGAAATGAAGAAAATGTATTGAGGCACTGCAAATCCTAACCCTAGTTACAAGTAGATTGAAAGTAGAACCCATTAAATTCTCTTTTCTTGGTATAAATGTCTTCCTGATACTTAACAGTTTATTTATAGAAGGTTAGAAACGCCCCCTGAAGGATACCATTTCATTCCATACAATGCTTTGACTGTGAGGTGAACAAAAATAAAAAAAACAACAACATTATTTTGGGTACTGGAGGACACTAAGCATTTAAAATGTTATGAGCACCAATTTAAAAATATGTTTTACTCGCAATGATATATCCAGTCTAGGAATGATATCTTATTTACATCCAAAGTAAATGAGCGTTCACGTTTGCTTTAATTATATGGTAAATGGCCTGCCATACTGTAATTTTTCCTCACCCCTGGAGGTGAGAGAGAAAACGGAGCTGCAACTGATTTACCTACAGCGGGCATTATGGCTCAAAATTTCTACAAAAATCCAGACTTGGTTTTCACGCGACAAAATAGGTTTCCATAGATGGCAGGTTCTTTAAGCATTGTTGTATACATGACGTCTGCTTTCGTCCACCTTTAATGCAGCTGATTGCCTTTAACCTTACATGTTGTGCAGATATAGAAAATAGTTGGAAATACTTTACTTGATTTAAATCAGATTAATGGATATGTCCAAGTATTTGCATCGCGATGGATTTTTTCTTTTTAATATTAGGTCGAGGTAAATGGCTCCTGAGCGACGTGGTATTTTATCATTAAAATGTTGTAACAAAGACTGCCACCTAGTGGCGTAGTACACACATAACTGTATTTGCATATTATGGACAGGTCTTCCCCTAGGCTCAGTTAACCTAAGATGCATATTTTGGGACTTAAGGAGGAAACTAGAATACACAAAGAGAATTCACACATGCATGGAAATAAAATAATAAAACTTAATGTAGGAAGGCTTTAAGTTAACATATGGAAATTCTATCTCTATAAAACCTCCCTTATATTATTTTGTTAGTAGTTATTACCTTTATTTGAGATCATATATATATATATATATATATATATATATATATACAATGGATAACTAACCAGAAAAGAAATACAAATTTAACCCTTCCATAATTTCTGACTGTTTAATTGGTCTTCACACCTTTTTTTTAATATACAGATTCTTAAATAAGATAATTTCATTTGATATTTATGATTAATAAAAAAAATTTTAATGTAGCTATTTCACTAAGTGAAACAATTGAAATAGGATCCTCATGTAGAAAAAGTTTTTGTTTGTTTTTACAAAGCAGCCTACTTTTATTTAAACAACCTGCACCAAAGATAGCGAGAATTGTGACAATGATCTTGCTGCATCTATTTTACATAATTGTCTTAAACGTTTCTTTGGATTGTCTTAAACTTCAAATAAAGAATCAATTTTGATAACTTCTATAGTTTTTATGGGGATAAAATGTTTGATCAGCATGACAATCTCGACCTACAGAGGGCGCCGCATACATATAATACCTGAAGGAATGCACATTTGGTTATCTGACTCACACAAAAACGAAACCAACATAAGCTTGAATGCATAGTGGGTCAAATGTTATAAGAAATGTTAAGAGGGATTTCACATTTCCAATCTGAGAACTGCTATTTTCAAAACATATCTGAAACACTGAAACATTATTCCTTCTGCAGGTCTTTGCAATGCATTCTCCCATTCTTGGTGTATTTGACAGAAGGTACCAAAAACAGGGGTAATAGAAAAGGAACATTTTTTTTTTTTATTAATTTCATGATTTCACTTCGTCTGAAGTCGATAAGTAGTGTTTCTGAGGGACTTTCAATTTACAGATGTTTATTTCAGAACCTGAATTATGGGGAAGAATGAGAAGAATGTGAAGAATCTGAGAAAATCTCACTGATATGTCACAAAATCCCTTTTATACCATCTGTTCAAGGTCAGTTAGTGATGTCTGATGTTCTTTCTTTAGCCAAAATTCTTTTTTGCAATTCATTTAATATAAATTACAAGAGATACCACGAAATTTAAGCTAATTAGACCTTGCACTCACTCCTTTTTGTAAACCAGCATACTATCTGGTGTCACCTCAACCTGAGAATGTACCTTTTGTTACAGGAGGAGGACTGAGCACTGTCAAGCAGAGAGAGACAGACGCCAGCATGCTGTGTGGGAGACAGCTTGAAAGAGTGCCAGCGTAAACACTCTCAGACCACATGTTCTCCCATGGCAGAGGGGCTGGCCTCTTTCCAAGCACATCTGCACACAATCCCTCAGCTCTTAGCAGGCCAACCAAGGAGTCAGAGCAGGGCAAAGGAGGGAGAGACTGGGGGAGAGAAGTAGTCCCAGACACTTCAAGGACCTGAACTTTCTTTGATCCAAGTGTCAGCAATGGCTTAGAAATGTGTAAATAAAAAAAAAGGTTATTTAAGATTCTGAGTTTACATTTGCAGCACAATCTGCATCACAACACTAGTTTTGCATGCCTGTTAATGTTTTTCTTTTTTGTTGCATTATTATTATTATCATTTTTTTTTATTAATACTATATAATGCTCACATGGGAAAACAAAAAAAACAAAACAAAAAAACAAGCTGCACCTATTTTTCAGTTCTACAAGCTTTCCCTGCTTGCTGCCTTTGATTTGGGAGGAAATTAGTGGCTTTGTTCTGGCAAGATGATCACTGAGCATACATTGCTGACAACACCTGAGGAATGCAGAGCATGCAACAACAGCCTGTGTTCACCCCCGACACTGACCCCACCTTAAATCTCCCTTATCTGCAGCCCTCCCCCATATCAGCCAACAGCCATAAAAATAAAAAAAACACTTTCCACAAGTCTTCAATTTATACATTTAAAAAAAATTCTTTGATTCCTGTTTTTTAGATTAACCTATGTTTCCGGCAAGCCACATTTTTCCCTCTCACTGGTAATTTGCACCCCCCAAACTGGCCTTCATCTCTGGAATTTACTGCCACTCGGGTTCAACACTTACACACCACATCAATACATTTCATGCATCGATTAAAACATGGGGGACTAACAGCCCCATATGAGCCTAACCGTGTCCAGCCTAAAAGAAAGCAGTTAATCTCTAGTAAGAAAGAACATCAGGGGGGAAAAAATCAGATTGTTATGAAAATGCAACTAATGATTCAAACTTTGAGGTTGTGTGCATCCTTATGTTTTGGAAATAAATACAGAGAGAGTCTGAAATCTTTAATAACACAGAATGGATGTGTTAGAATTACATATAATTTCCTTTCCTCACACTTAAGGACCAGTCAGTCAGGGTGCACAGGACAAGGCAAAAGATTGGGGGGAGTTGCCAAGCAACTCCTCATGAGAGACAGACACCTCTTTTTATAACAGGATAAGAACTGTCAGATAACATGACTGCTGGTAAAAATGGAAAATAGCTGATATTTTCTTTTTAAGTTTTAAAATAGTAAAAAAAAAAAAATAGTGTCACATCAGATTTAATCTGACTTTATTGTATGTATTATTTTTTAGGATAACTAAGTTTTTAAAAGTGACTCACTTGCAAATTTGATACGGTATCGTTCTTTGTCTCAGTTAATCAGTAAAGTTTTTTGTATAATAAACATAAAAACATACTTTTGTAAAACTATCTCACCAGAGAAAATGTCACTTTTTCTTATTTCTTAATTTTTAAGATCCATTCATCTTCTTTACCACGTGTTCATTAGGCTGGTGCCTAGCTCCAGCAGGCAGCGTAAACTAGACATGTCACTTAAATTTTGTGTTTGTCCAGCTAATTATAAAAATGTTGTCTTTAATTGAAATTTAACAAAACAAAAGATTTCTCATTAATTTTCCAGGAAACCATTGAGCATACTTCCTTTATAGAGTACATTATGTTTGGTCTGATTTTTGTTATTTAACATGCAAGGTTTCCTCACCCACAAAAATTCTGTAAATAGTTGCTATCTTTGGCTAATTTGGCTATCAAAGATTAGCCACATCCTTGATTTCTAAATGTCATATATTCCCACTGTTTCTGAAGTACAAAAATGTAAATATTTTAAAATGAAATTATGTTAGATTTTCTTCTTTCTTTCATCATAGCATATGGTAATGAAGTAATAATTTTTAAATACTTGGACTGGGATTTTGTTCATTCAGTGTCTCGCCTGCTGGTTCTAACTCTGAAACTTTAAATAAATTTTCAGACTTCCTTATTGTGGATGACTTTGTTATCTATTTGAAAACTATAAGCAAAAGCTTAACTCTAGCCTTTTATGGTCATTTTGAGGTTTAGTTGACTTCAAAGGTTTTCCATTGCTACTATCGACTTTCACACTACGTCCTTGAGACTGTATTTTATTTATTTTTTTTTTATTGCTTGACGGATCTGTTCTCTAAAACCACAGTTAATCACAGTATATGGCTCAATGTAAACGTTCCACAGGGTTGTGTTCTTGGATCCTTTCTGATGATATATGTAATTAAAATTTTAAATCAGTTCTTTTGAAAAAAATCTATTTTTAGATAGCTAGGCAAAATAAGGCAGATTGTGTACGAACATCTCTATGACTTACCAATGTTGCCAACTTAGGGTCTATATCACTTAAACACAGCACTAATATCTATATGGCAAAAGCATTTTTTTCTTGGTGTAACTCTAACCACTGTAATACCCTAAAATATTTGCCAGCAAAAGTCAGATGGTAATATGTACTTTAGTTCTGCCCATTTTAGGTCTTCACTAACTATGTGGTATTTTTTTATGACAAACTGATAAGACCAAACTGATATAAAAATTAAACAACAATTTTAAAACTGAACTGAGTTGAAAAACTTTAACAGATGCCAGAGTACCACTGTGTCCCAAAATCATTTATCTGCCTCTCCTGGCTGCCACACGCAAAGAATGATTAATAATGTCAGCCAAATGTCCTCCAGGTAGATGAGGTAAGGTGTGCCAGCTGTTTTAGATTAGTCTCCATGCTGAAGAGGTTTAACTCTTTCACTTTAATCCGGGGAACCCAAGCTAAAATCCAGGTTGTATCAAGAAGGAAATCCAGCATAAAAACTTTGTCAAGTTTGTTAGCAAGTCAAAATGACTGGTTTTCCTTTGAAAACTTTTAATCACTTTGACTTTATGATCTGGTTGAATTGTAAAGTGCCTTGAGATTTCTTGTGTTGTGAATTAGCGCTATATAAATAAACTGAATTGAATTAAAAATTGAACAAACACATCTAATATTTTGTATCTCCTCAAACTGATAGTGCTTTAATACTTATATTGCACTTTTTTTTTTCTTTTTTTTGTGTTTAACTAGATGAAATAGAAAAAAGCTTTCAACTTCCACAGTAGTAGTTAGCACCACAACATTTAGCCAATCTTCCTTTTTCTGACTTATGTGTTCACCTTTATGTGTTCTTCATCAAGCTGAAGGTGCAGATCTCAATACAAGCAAATCCAGAGAGCAAATTAGAACAAATCTCACTACCCCCCCTAAAAGAAAAGGTAAAAAACAATTTAAGAATATTTGCTTAGACAAAGCAAAACAAAACAAAAATCATAAATAAAAACAATTCAGATCAGCTGTCTCGTGCATTTAGGAAGGGTGTTTATATTATCTTTACAGAAAAAGAGTTTTAAATGAAACCCAAAAAACAAACAGGAGCATATATGTGGGTAAAAAAAAACAAACTATGATGTTACTGTGAGTTTGAATGATTGTCCCAGAACGAACGGGCCATTAGCTTTCACACATCAACATATAGGCTGTGCACTTGGTGTGCGCGCTGTGCGCTGAGTGTGTGCGCGCTGTGCGCTGAGTGTGCGCGCGCTGTGCGCTGAGTGTGCGCGCTGTGCAGAGAGCGACTCCAATCACCGCCGCTCTTCTGACTGAATTTCCCTGACTGACGTCAGCTGACTCTCCGCTCCTCTGGACACAGCGCCGCGTAAAAATGCTGCTCTCGGTGCCGCCAAGGACAGGAATCAGCCCGTACGGCGGCTACACCGGCAAAAGCCACAAGAAGGTAAAGCAGCCCCCATCCGACCACTTGTGTTTCTCTTCTCTTAAAGTAGATCAGCCATCGATGCGGCGCTGTGCGAGCTCCGTGTCTCCACTTAAAATCTGCTCGGCTGTTTTAAGCTGCAGTGTCCTTGAAATTGGATCACGTTAAAACTGTTACTGTGTTTGGCTTTAATTTATTGTGCTAAACTGTTATAAAGCAGAGCAGAGTCTGTTACTGTGTTCCCTGAGGATTACTTGAACAGTTTGCTTTCGTTTGTTCCGACACGGTCGCAGCTCTCTTCCTGCCTACGCAGAGAACAGTTTTAGAAATGTCCCTGTCTTGGTGCGCCTAAGAAGCGCAAAAGATCATTTCATTTTCAACTCTAATTTGAACCGAATCAAACTCGCTAATGGAATAGTTTTGTTTCGATTGGATTAAACCCTACTTTGTAAAGTTTTTTTCCACTTTTACGCGCTCCATGATGCCCCACCCCTTCAGAAATAATTACTGAGGAGCTTTGCATAGCACTTTAAGTAGAGAGGAAAGTACAGGCAGTCTGTTTTAGATCACCATACTGAATGAGCAGATTAGCGGAATAGCACAGTGACTTGAAACTGGAACAGTATGCGAGCTGTGATATTGATTGGCTTGCTCTGGGAGATGAATAATTCATGAGGGTTAAATTGTCTATTCTCAGCCGCTTCTATAGTGCAGACCATATATTTGACATAGAAACCACTTTAAAAGGAAGTAATTTATCCTATAGATTTTTTTTTACCTACTTATTCTATACATTAGTAAGAGCAGCACCCAGACACCTCATTTCTAAAATAACTGTGAGGTTCCATTTTTTTTGTTTTGTTTTACACCATCATATTACTTGAGTAAATTCAGTTATTACTTGGAAAAAATAAATAAATATATATATATATATATATATATATATATATATATATATATATATATATATATATATATATATATATTGTAAAATTTGCTTTCTTAACACTGCCAGCTACTAAATCGTTTTATTGACTTAAACCATTTCAATGACAATTTAATTATTTAGATTTAAACATTTTTTTTTTAAAGTGATATAGAGATTTAACTTTGTCGAAGGTTAACACTAAATGCATTTATGTGTTAAAAAAAATTATGTTTTTTCTTTCTGTTTTTGTCATTTCTTTTGGAGTTGTTTTTGCAGCTAAAATCTACTCAATTGGAATTGCAAGGCTTCTTCACTATCACAGTTCATAAAGAACTGGGAAATGGCTTCAATTCTTTTTTTTAATTCAGAGTAGAATCATAATTCCCACATTGAAAAACTAGAATAGGTCTTATTGTTCTGAGCAGTGAGATCTACAGTAGCGCCTATATTGAGAACCACCGCTGCCCCTAAGCTTTGATAACTCAATACCAAATAGCCTTCAACTGATTAATGATACAGCTTCACAGATACAGTCATTGGAGCACACAGACCCTTGTTATAGAAGCAGAGGATACTCTCTATCACAAGAGTCTCCTTTGCTGGGTGCGCCTTTGGAGTAGAAATATAACAAAACATTTCCCCCCTTTCTTTCGTGAGATCATCTGTTTTGTTGAAAGTGAACAGAAAGTGGGAAAGTTGTGCCATCAGAAACAGACATTAATCTCCATTAATGTCATTTGAAACATAATACAATGATATGTAACTGAATTAATTTGCTTTGAAAATTAAATTTGTCTTGTTTTACTTTTAGTTCCATAGATTAATTTTAGTTTGAAAATTCAGTTTCCTTGTGTAAAACAATGGTTCCTTAAACCACAGAGTATTCACCATCTTGACCATATCGGCATGGAAAATGCGCAATGTTACACCTGCCAATGCTAATTTAGTCTCTTTAGCTTATAATAGCTACAGGTAGCAGTTGCAGTTGACCAAAGCCAACCTCTTGCATGACAATTCATGATCATTTGGCATTGCTAATGATACTGTATCTACAAGCTCCTTGTGGTCCTCTACTGCAGCCCGAATGCCTTAAAGTTAATTTAACCTGATGTGATATATCATTCCATGAATCTGTGTTTTTTAAGGACATGTTTGCTTGTGACAAAGTAGCTCAATTTTCAAACTGAAATTGAATATTAGAAATCAAAGTGAAAAGGGAAAAATAGAATTTTCAATGTAAAAAGAAAAAAATAAACAAAGCAAATGCGTTGTTTCAAAATATTCAGTGACAATGTAGTGAATTTAAATTTTAGACTAATAGAATTGAATAGAATTCCACTTTATTGTCATTGCACTGTCATGAGTACAAGCAACGAAATGTGGTTTGCATCTATCCAGAAGTGCTATACAGGATATAATATTATTACAGGTGTATGTACAAGCAAAAAGTAATAGTTAGGGACTGTAAAAAGTTATGTATAAATATGAATATGGGTGCTACATGCACAGCTACATTAAACAGATTATGCAGAATATACAGGAAATTATATATTAGTTATATATTAGAAATATTATGTTAGCGGGTTTATAATACAAGATAAATAATGGCAGATAAGATTTAGTCAGGGTAATTCAAATTCTCAGTTTCTGGTTGTGGACGTTTCTGCCCATATTTGTTATTTATGCCAACAATGGTTGATGTAATATGAAACCTTTCAAATGAATTTCCAAAGGATGCATCCTAAATGTTTGACCTCATTACTTAATGTTCATAAGGTTTTGATGTTTTTTTTTTTTTTAAACACCCATCACCATCATATAACAGTTTATGGAACTACCAGAAAATAACCAATCAGAGCACAGTTCAATTAGCACTCGTTAGTTCACCTTCCTCACATCTCATCTAAGATGTGGCCCTCATTGGAAATGAAAGGGTTAAGAAGCTCTGTTGTTTAGCTGTCAGTAGCATAGTACTGTTGTGGCTAAACAAGCTAAAGCCTAATATAAACCAAGATTTTTGCTCCAGTGCAAAAAGCTGTCGACCATAATTTTAATGACAGATCTTCACCTATAGTAAACTGGTATTTTCAATCATAAAACAACCCATACTAAGACATCAATATTTCTGCTGAAAACTCGTAGAATGAACAAAAATAATGATTGACTGAACCAAATTTTAGTCAATATCTAATCAAAAAGTTTAGCTGGGTTTCTTAACACAAAAGTATTTAGATTTGCCTTTAACTGGTATTGAATTCTGGCTTCAAATCACTAATGTGCTTGGTTAAAATCGAAACTACTCTAAAGGCTAATATGTGATACAGCCCAAAATGTATTGCTATAGTGCTCTCTGAAAAAGATATAAATGAGCATTAAAGAAAGAGCAACCGTATGAGTAAGTTCATGGAAAACATCCGAAACAGCTGAAATGAAGCTCTTCCCGTCATGCCTGTGTCATTCCCATCACTTGCTCACAGCTGGAAGGAATTTAGATTGCTTAGATTAATGACCCGGAATTCCTGGAATCTTGAATTCAGACAATGTGTTTGCTTCCACAGGGGCTCTAAAAACTCTAAAACCTTTCTCTCCTGAAGTGAGACTTCCAAGCTTTTTTTCCCCCCTAGGAGATAAAGTCACACACAGAGGAGAGACTTGTAAATCCAGCATCAAGTGGTAACCCCTGCTCAGTGTCGTTTATTATTTAGAAAAGGGCGGAGAGAAGAGAGGGATTAAGAGATACTCCCCCTTTTACTCTGCTTCCCATTAACTTCAAGCTTTTTTTCTCCCTCCCGCCTGTTTCACATTGATTTCTGCTAAAAGCAGTTTTAGGAGAGAGATAGAATAGATTAAAGAGTGAGTAGTGGAGCTGCGGTATATTGAGGGTTCTCATCACTTCGCTTATGTAGTTCCTTCCTCCTCTTACCGCTTTACTTTACATATTTGGGATTTAATGTAAATGTTATACTGTGAATCTTTTCCAGTCAGGTTGGTCTGTTTTTTTTTTTTTTTTTATAATTCTCCAAGTTAACAATGTAATCTTCTTTTATTCCTGAAATGCAGTTCTTAAAACTTGTTGTTGAATGATTAATGATAAACCAATTTCAGCTAAAGTTTGATTTGGTTGTATAACTAGGTATATAATTTATAATTTAATTTTTTGTTTAACCATATGATCATGAAAGTGGTATCAAAACTGGAGAATGGTCATTTGATTTAGGAGTAAATTGCGGCTTGAAAGGGTGAAAATCGATTAATGCCTTGGTAATGAAGAAGAAAATATAATGCAGTTTAATTTTTCAACAGCGAGGTAAAATATAAAGTTTAACAATTATTTTCTGAGAAAAGTAGTACATGTGTTATTGTATAAAAACTGCTTATTGATATTTTATAGCTTAAAGCAAATTTGGGTTAAGAAAGAGTTGTGGCACATATTGAAAAATGAGACGGTAGGTTTTCGCTATTAATTAGAAAGTTTCCACATCCTGTTACCTTTGCTATTTTTGTTCTGTTTGACTGAAAAAGTCCTTGAGTCACCTGCGGTCTCTTCAGGCTTCAACTCTGCCACTTTCAACTGTAATCTTCTCATCAGATTTTATCTAATGACTGAGGCACAAAGTCTCTGCACCACGCTGGGAGACGCTTATGTCACATCTCTATCTAAAGAAATATATAAAAAGATTAACGTAGCTCTGCACCTGTACCTAAAAATAAAAAAATATACCGGGTAATAAAGGAATTTTGGAATCATATTTTTTCAGATGTAGGAATAGGAATAATACGTTGTAGTGTTAAAGTCCCATGTTTTCCATTTGTATCTCTGATTCCCAGTGAGAAGAAAAAATGTTTAATAGACCTAACTTTTGAATCCATCCAGTCGTACATAATTTTACTCACCTCACACTCCGGATAAACATCGTGAATACATTTTATATGAGATTCTCTTGTTCAGATCAGTATGAGTACAAACCTTGAGCTCATAGATTTTATTTTTAAAGATGTTGACAGCATGTTCAAAACTTTTCAATAATAGTTTTGAAACAATGTGGCTCTACGGTCCAACTATGCTTTTTTGTTGAAATGGCATTTAGACACA